TATTTCACATTTGGGGACAATGTATACCTTCAGATCAGCGGCACTGCTATGGGTACCCGCATGGCCCCACAGTATGCCAACATTTTTATGGCTGATTTAGAACAACGCTTCCTCAGCTCTCGTCCCCTAAAGCCCCTACTCTACTTGCGCTATATTGATGACATCTTCATCATCTGGACCCATGGAAAAGAAGCCCTTGAAGAATTCCACCACGATTTCAACAATTTCCATCCCACCACCAACCTCAGCCTGGTCCAGTCCACACAAGAGATCCACTTCCTGGACACTACAGTGCTAATAAACAATGGCCACATAAACACCACCCTATACCGGAAACCTACTGACCGCTATTCCTACCTGCATGCCTCCAGCTTTCACCCTGACCACACCACACGATCCATCGTCTACAGCCAAGCTCTGCGATACAACCGCATTTGCTCCAACCCCTCAGACAGAGACAAACACCTACAAGATCTCTGTCAAGCTTTCTTACAACTACAATACCCACCTGCAGAAGTAAAGAAACAGATTGATAGAGCCAGAAGAGTTCCCAGAAGTTACCTACTACAGGACAGGCCTAACAAAGAAAATAACAGAACGCCACTAGCGGTCACCTTCAGCCCCCAACTAAAACCCCTCCAACGCATTATTAAGGATCTACAACCTATCCTAAAGGATGACCCAACACTCTCACAAGTCTTGGGAGACAGGCCAGTCCTTGCCTACAGACAGCCCCGCAACCTGAAGCAAATATTCACCAACAACCACATACCACACAACCGAACCACTAACCCAGGAACTTATCCTTGCAACAAAGCCCGTTGCCAATTGTGCCCACATATCTATTCAGGGGACACCATCACAGGGCCTAATAACATCAGCCACACTATCAGAGGCTCGTTCACCTGCACATCCACCAATGTGATATATGCCATCATGTGCCAGCAATGCCCCTCTGCCATGGACATTGGTCAAACTGGACAGTCTCTACGTAAAAGAATAAATGGACACAAATCAGATGTCAAGAATCATAACATTCATAAACCAGTCGGAGAACACTTCAATCTCTCTGGTCACGCAATCACAGACATGAAGGTCGCTATCTTAAAACAAAAAAACTTCAAATCCAGACTCCAGCGAGAAACTGCTGAATTGGAATTCATTTGCAAATTGGATACTATTAATTTAGGCTTAAATAGAGACTGGGAGTGGCTAAGTCATTATGCAAGGTAGCCTGTTTCTTCTTGTTTTTCTCCCCCCCCCCCCCCCCCCCCAGATGTTCTGGTTTAACTTGGATTTAAACTTGGAGAGTGGTCAGTTTAGATGAGCTATTACCAGCAGGAGAGTGAGTTTGTGTGTGTATGGGGGTGGGGGGGATGTGAGAAAACCTTGATCTATGCAGGAAATAGCCCGACTTGATTATGTAAAGAGTTGTCACTTTGGATGGGCTAGCACCAGCAGGAGAGTGAATTTGTGTGGGGGGTGGAGGGTGAGAAAACCTGGATTTGTGCTGGAAATGGCCCACCTGTTGATCACTTTAGATAAGCTATTACCAGCAGGACAGTGGGGTGGGAGGAGGTATTGTTTCATATTCTCTGTGTGTATATAAAGTCTGCTGCAGTTTCCACGGTAAACATCTGATGAAGTGAGCTGTAGCTCACGAAAGCTCATGCTCAAATAAATTGGTTAGTCTCTAAGGTGCCACAAGTACTCCTTTTCTTATTGTTGTGATAGTGGCCTGCATCCTTCCCTTGTGCTGTGATCCTGTCAATTCTCCCAAGCTGGGTAGGCCTGGTCTGTACTGGGATGGGAGACTGTAAAATAAGACCATTGTGTAGTATTTCTGGTGTTTGTATAGACCCAGATTCTGCCACCCTTGCCCATACTTGAGTAGTACCTTGCTGTACAAGTAGTCCCATTGCTTTCCATAGGGTTATTGGCAGAGTACCGTACTACTTTGCAGGGGTAGGAGTGATGGCGTGTTTCCTGTACCGTGCTATTCTTTCTGAATTTGTTCTAGCCCAGTGTGACATTATAAGTGCTCTGCTGCTGGAGGTACTGCCTCTCGCATGAAATATGAAAAAGACATTGATACCTGAAGTTGTGAAAAATCTCTTGGCAATTACAATAGCACAGGGGCAATGGGGTTTTGGGGTGGAGTGTATTAACCACAGGTTTCAGAGTAACAGCCGTGTTAGTCTGTATTCGCAAAAAGAAAAGGAGTACTTGTGGCACCTTAGAGACTAACCAATTTATTTGAGCATGAGCCTTCGTGAGCTACAGCTCACTTCATCGGATGCATACCGTGGAAACTGCAGCAGACTTTATATACACACAGAGAATATGAAACAATACCTCCTCCCACCCCACTGTCCTGCTGGTAATAGCTTATCTAAAGTGATCATCAGGTTGGGCCATTTCCAGCACAAATCCAGGTTTTCTCACCCTCCACCCCCCCACACAAATTCACTCTCCTGCTGGTGATAGCCCATCCAAAGTGACCACTCTCCCTACAATGTGCATGATAATCAAGGTGGGCCATTTCCAGCACAAATCCAGGTTTTCTCACACACACCCCCCCACCCCCATACACACACAAACTCACTCTCCTGCTGGTAATAGCTCATCCAAACTGACCACTCTCCAAGTTTAAATCCAAGTTAAACCAGAACATCGGGGGGGGGAAAACAAGGGGAAATAGGCTAGGCTACCTTGCATAATGACTTAGCCACTCCCAGTCTCTATTTAAGCCTAAATTAATAGTATCCAATTTGCAAATGAATTCCAATTCAGCAGTTTCTCGCTGGAGTCTGGATTTGAAGTTTTTTTGTTTTAAGATAGCGACCTTCATGTCTGTGATTGCGTGACCAGAGAGACTGAAGTGTTCTCCGACTGGTTTATGAATGTTATAATTCTTGACATCTGATTTGTGTCCATTTATTCTTTTACGTAGAGACTGTCCAGTTTGACCAATGTACATGGCAGAGGGGCATTGCTGGCACATGATGGCATATATCACATTGGTGGATGTGCAGGTGAACGAGCCTCTGATAGTGTGGCTGATGTTATTAGGCCCTGTGATGGTGTCCCCTGAATAGATATGTGGGCACAATTGGCAACGGGCTTTGTTGCAAGGATAAGTTCCTGGGTTAGTGGTTCTGTTGTGTGGTATGTGGTTGTTGGTGAGTATTTGCTTCAGGTTGCGGGGCTGTCTGTAGGCAAGGACTGGCCTGTCTCCCAAGATTTGTGAGAGTGTTGGGTCATCCTTTAGGATAGGTTGTAGATCCTTAATAATGCGTTGGAGGGGTTTTAGTTGGGGGCTGAAGGTGACGGCTAGTGGCGTTCTGTTATTTTCTTTGTTAGGCCTGTCCTGTAGTAGGTAACTTCTGGGAACTCTTCTGGCTCTATCAATCTGTTTCTTTACTTCTGCAGGTGGGTATTGTAGTTGTAAGAAAGCTTGACAGACATCTTGTAGGTGTTTGTCTCTGTCTGAGGGGTTGGAGCAAATGCGGTTGTATCGCAGAGCTTGGCTGTAGACGATGGATCGTGTGGTGTGGTCAGGGTGAAAGCTGGAGGCATGCAGGTAGGAATAGTGGTCAGTAGGTTTCTGGTATAGGGTGGTGTTTATGTGACCATTGTGCTACAGTCCTTGCCTACAGACAGCCCCGCAACCTGAAGCAAATACTCACCAACAACCACATACCACACAACAGAACCACTAACCCAGGAACTTATCCTTGCAACAAAGCCCGTTGCCAATTGTGCCCACATATCTATTCAGGGGACACCATCACAGGGCCTAATAACATCAGCCACACTATCAGAGGCTCGTATACCTGCACATCCACCAATGTGATATATGCCATCATGTGCCAGCAATGCCCCTCTGCCATGTACATTGGTCAAACTGGACAGTCTCTACGTAAAAGAATAAATGGACACAAATCAGATGTCAAGAATTATAACATTCATAAACCAGTCGGAGAACACTTCAATCTCTCTGGTCACGCAATCACAGACATGAAGGTCGCTATCTTAAAACAAAAAAACTTCAAATCCAGACTCCAGCGAGAAACTGCTGAATTGGAATTCATTTGCAAATTGGATACTATTAATTTAGGCTTAAATAGAGACTGGGAGTGGCTAAGTCATTATGCAAGGTAGCCTAGCCTATTTCCCCTTGTTTTTTCCTACCCCCCCCCCCCCCCCAGATGTTCTGGTTTAACTTGGATTTAAACTTGGAGAGTGGTCAGTTTGGATGAGCTATTACCAGCAGGAGAGTGAGTTTGTGTGTGTATGGGGGTGGGGGGGGGGGGGTGTGAGAAAACCTGGATTTGTGCTGGAAATGGCCCACCTTGATTATCATGCACATTGTAGGGAGAGTGGTCACTTTGGATGAGCTATTACCAGAAGGATAGTGAGTTTGTGTGTGTGGTTTTTGGGAGGGGGGTGAGAGAACCTGGATTTGTGCTGGAAATGGCCCACCTTGATTATCATGCACATTGTAGGGAGAGTGGTCACTTTGGATGAGCTATTACCAGCAGGATAGTGAGTTTGTGTGTGTGGTTTTTGGGAGGGGGGTGAGAGAACCTGGATTTGTGCAGGAAATGGCCCAACTTGATTATCATGCACATTGTGTAAAGAGTTGTCACTTTGGATGGGCTATCACCAGCAGGAGAGTGAATTTGTGTGGGGGGGTGGAGGGTGAGAAAACCTGGATTTGTGCTGGAAATGGCCCAACCTGATGATCACTTTAGATAAGCTATTACCAGCAGGACAGTGGGGTGGGAGGAGGTATTGTTTCATATTCTCTGTGTGTATATAAAGTCTGCTGCAGTTTCCACAGTATGCATCCGATGAAGTGAGCTGTAGCTCACGAAGGCTCATGCTCAAATAAATTGGTTAGTCTCTAAGGTGCCACAAGTACTCCTTTTCTTTTTGTATTAACCACAGTGTCTGAGCCAGTAGTTACATGCTATCTGTCTACATTCCTCCTTCAGCTCCAACTGGACATGGTAGCTGCTGGGTCCTGTTAAACAGCAGCTGTGTTTCAGTTCAGAGGTGGCTGCACTTCAGGGATGGAAGAAGCTAACTCTGCTTTGGGAGCTTCAGGAGGAAGGACACTTCCTCACCCCAGGGACAGGTTAGGTTTAAAATGCATTGTATGAATCTAACAAAACATGCAGGGGCACCAATCCCAGGCAGGGAGTAGCCAGTTGGTGATGGGGAGCTATGGGGGTCTCGCTTCTGCTAGGCAGCTGGGCAGTTTGAGCTGCAGAAGTGAACCTTGTGGTCTTCAAAAGTTTCTGTTTTTCTCTCCTTCAAACACCCAGCCCTCCAAAAAAAAAAAAAAAAAGTGGGGGGAGGGGGGGATGGATTGGGACTCTGGGTTTCGATCTGCAGGCAGTTATAATCTCAGTGCCTGGCTCCTGTTTTAAAATCAATTTGAGGGGAGGGGGAGAGAGAGAAACTTTTATTATGGGTTTTCATCTGAAGAAGTGGTTTTTTACCCACGAAAGCTTATGCCCAAATAAATCTGTTTGTCTTTAAGGTGCCACCGGATTCCTTGTTGTTTTTGTGGACACAGACTAACACGGCTACCCCCTGACACTTGACATTTTGGGATTGCTAATCTTTTCTTTATGCTCCTGAATAGACCCTCCTCCTCCTCTGTAGAAGCAAACTAGTTTCCCTGGACTTGGTCTGGCTAGCAGACTCTATCAAGCACTGTGCTGCCCACTTTCCCTCCTGTCAATGGTAAGGGGGAATGCACATGTGTGATGCCCTAGAGCTGTGTTACTCAACAACCAGTCCAGGGACTGGCACCAGTCCCTGAGATCTCCATGACACAGTTTAGGAAGGCAGCAAGCCAGTGCCTGGTATCAAAAAGGCTGAGAAATGCTGCCCTTTATCTTCACTGAGTCACCACTTTCCCATAAATGCAAAGTCACAGTTTTCCCCCCGTATAGTTTGAATCTTTCTTTCTATTCTGCTCGTGTTGCCAGTACATGTGGGGTCCTTCGGTTTCTCTTCTTCGTATCTCTCCATTACGATGTCTGTCCTTTTTCTATGGCCCGGGAGCCAATTCCTCTGGAGCCATTCACCTCTGCTTCTGGACCAGATGGTGAGAGGTGACTTGAGCCCCGTACAGGGCTTCCTTATCACTTGGCACCAAGCACAATGTCCCCAGTGAGTCTCAATGCCAGTGACACTCTGAACCAGGACTCGAAGGGGCACTAGACCCCCAGGCAGGTGTCCAGATACAGCTACTCTTGCAGTATTTTCTATATCACTCCTTCTCGATTTAACTGTAGCCACAGATCGGATAGAATGTGGAAACCCTTTGACAGTTCACAGCACAGTAAATTAGGACAGGAAGTGTGAAACCTAATGCAACCTGTTATCTAGTCAAGAGCCACAAGTGTCCTTGGTGCTGTACAGCGCATAAGGGAAGACCCTCTGTCCCTGTCATGAGGAGCTTATAGTCCAAACAGACCATGTTTGGGCACAAAAACCCATTGTAGGTCTAGAGCAGTGCTACTCAAAGTGGTGGTCCGCGAGCCATCGGCTGCCGGTCTGCACGCACATTGGGAAAAAAAATTGCCGGCTCCCCACATCAGACAGCTTGAGAAGCACTGGGCTGGAGGATGGTGATTTCTGTTTGTCAAGTGTGAGCCTGAGCAGTCCAGGCCAGCAACGTAGCTTTCAAAATGGATTCTACGAGGGGAAGCTGGCTTAGTGGAATGTACCCCTTATGAAAATTATGTTAGTATCATTAAAGGCCAGAGGTGATGGGGACGTTGGTTTTATGTCTGGCCTGAAAGAGAGTACTTCCAGCATTAAAGCCCCTCCATGCATCTGTTTGTGGTGCTTCAGTGCTTAGTTGTGGGAAGGCATGTCCACAGCTGAATTGCTGGGTTTCCATCCAAGCACTGAGCTGTTTTGCTTGCCAGATCAGTTGGAAACTCAGCCCACATGGCATGGTTGCAGCCATAGGTCTGTATTTCTGAACTTAACTCCCCTGGCATTATTTTGTTTAAGTTAAGCTTGAAGAGAACATCATCAGGCAGACTGGTACAGGCTCTGCTGAGCTCATGTAGAGAGCTACAAGCACATGGGAGGGGCAGGATTAGGGTTGCCAACCCTCCAGGATTGTCCTAGAGTCTCCAGGAATCAAAGATTAATCTTTAATTAAAGATTATGTCATGTGATGAAATCTCCAGGAATCCATCCAACCAAAGTTGGCAACTCTAGGTAAGATACCATCAGGCTCTTACTATTTGTAGCCAGTTCACAGACAGCTTTCTCAGTACCTGTGCAAAGTAATCTGTTGTGACCCTCACATCCTCCTCTGGTGAGCTCTGAGTATGTAGCAAGCAACCATTTCTCCTTGTTCCAGTTTCTCTGCCGGTTGCACCACCCTTTACCTCTTTGCTAGGAGCCCTGCTGCTTTACGGTGTTTGATAGAACATACTTGGCCATTAAACTTGCTCACCTTTATTGTGTGTCTGTCTCTTTAAAATCTTGCAGAGCCACATGCATGGAAATCCTGTTTTGACAAGTGTGTTTGGGTTATCACTTCAGTCAGAAAAGTTGGTGATCCACATCCTGGGGCATGGCTCTGACCTCATTGTGGTTTGGTCAATGGACAGAGACCGTAGCAGACTCACACTCCATAGCTGCTCTGGCTGTGCAGAAGATTCTGTGAGCTACGTAAAGATTATGTAGGAAGAAGTCTTTGATTTTTATTCCCTTGCAATCCACCTTTACTAGACTTCATAATTGAGCTATTGATTAGCAGCCCATGTTTGTACCGAAACACTCATTGTTCAAATGACTGCTCAGTTGGAGCTATTGGATTGCCTATGCAAAAGCATTATTTGATTTGTATTGTTGTACTGTCAAGCTTGTGATGTTAATAGTGTGTTCCTTTTCAGTCTCTGAATTGTGGTGTGGTAGCTCGTATATGTGCATCAATGCTCTCTATGGGATGAAATCAGTATTGCTTAACTGAGTGGCATAGGCCCTATACTGCTAACAGCTAATGGAGATTCTTCTTTAGCTCAAGTGGGAGGAGCTGAGTTTTGGATCACGGCTATTCTTGGTGTTGCTGTGAAGCTCTGAGTGGCTCTGGATTTACTTCAGTGCAGTCATGAGTGCTACATAGATCTGTATTACAGAAGTTAAGAAATATAATACTGAGCAATTTAATTGTTTTAATTTAGCATCTTCCATATAATATGCGTAATCTTAGCTGTATGATCTGTTCACATGCCTGAGAACTTCCCAGTGCTGTTGTGTCCCTGTTAAATTGCATGTGCTGGTTCCCTGCATAAATGCATAATATGGTTATCTGCTTGTGGCCTTGAGTTTCAAATGCAGCTCCTTATTATAGAATCATAGAATATCAGGGTTGGAAGGGACCCCAGGAGGTCATCTAGTCCAACTCCCTGCTCAAAACAGGACCAATCCCCAATTTTTGCCCCAGATCCCAAATGGCTCCTCAAGGATTGAACTCACAACCCTGGGTTTAGCAGGTCAATGTTCAAACCACTGAGCTATCCCTCCCCAAATAAGACTTCTTTTTCTGATCTCTGAATCAAAGCCATGGCAATAGAAAGCCCTGAGCACACAGCCCCTCTCCTGGCCCTCACCAGCCGGGAAGGGACCTCAGGTCATCAGTCCCTAGATGGCCTCCTCAAGGATTGAACTTGCAACCCTGGGTTTAGCAGGCCAATGCTCAAACCACTGAGCCATCCCTCCCCCATGAATGACACAAGCACCTCCGGATAAGTAACTAGCGAGAATGTTCAGGAGATCTTATCAGCTAATCAGTCTTCTTCTGAAACATAAGGTTGAAAAAAGAAAAGGAGTACTTGTGGCACCTTAGAGACTAACCAATTTATTTGAGCATAAGCTTTTGTGAGCTACAGCTTATGCTCAAATAAATTGGTTAGTCTCTAAGATGCCACAAGTACTCCTTTTCTTTTTGCAAATACAGACTAACACGGCTGTTACTCTGAAACCTGTCATAAGGTTGAAAGTATCACTTTACAGATGTGTGAAAAGAGCATGAGGTGTGATGTCTCTTCATTGAAATGGTGAGAAGGGCATGAAAAACACTAGTTGAGCAGAAAGAACAGGACTATTCAGACCTTCTGCGTGCCTAATTCCACGTCTCTACACACTCAGCTTCTGCAGTTTTTCAGGGGATGGTGCTCCAATACCATGGTGATGGGCCTGGTATAAGAACCTAAACAGAATAGAATTGGCGGGGCATACAGGCAGTGCGGTCTGTTCTCTTGAGAATGGAGATAGAGCTAGTTCCCTTTCTGAATAGGGTAGTAGGATACTGATAAAATAATGTGCATTATTGACCTCTACTGGATGAAGTAGAGTTGCCTGTCTATGGGTATGTGTACATGGGGATAAAAAATCCGTAGCTGACCTTGGTCAGCTGATTCAGGCACTTGGGGCTCAGGCTTCAGGGCTGAAAAATTGCTGTGTAGACATTCAGGCTCAAGCTGGAGCCTGAGCTCTGCGTCCCCCCTGTGTAGGTTCTGGCTCCAGTCTGAACCCAAATGTCTACAAAGCAATTTTCAGCGCTATGAGTCTGAGTCAGCTGACCTGGGCCAGCGGTGGCCGTGTGTTGGGGCTTTTATCCCCATGTAGACGTACCTAAAGTGGCATAGGCTCTATGCTGCTAAGCTAGAGCAATCTGATTCTTACAGCTTTGCAATAAATTGACTCGGAAGAAGGAGACAGGAAGGGACCATCTCAGATGTGGGGAGGGGGAGTTCTGAAGCTGAGCCAGAGTGGGGAGTTGCCACAGTCTCGGCTAGTGGCGACCAGGTCACAGTTGGAGAAGAGAGAATATTTTTTTTTTTGAGCTCAGCTTTGAAATGAATATTGAGCTGATGTGGGAGGAGAGCTGCTGCAGGGGTCAGCATCTGCACAGAAGAAAGCTCTTGCATCAGGAGTGGCAAGGGTGCATGGAGAGACAGAGGAGTCTAGTGCTGTGCTGGTGGAGGGGGATGGCGGGGGAAGGGGAGAGATCTGTGAGGTGGAGTGGGCTGAGTTCCTGGGAAGGTTTTAAAAGCAAGGAGAGTAGTGTGGAACTGCATCCTGAAAAGAACAGGCAGC